TTCTTGCAGTTGCAGTGATCTCTGCAACCTTTCTTGCAACTGCAGCAAATGAGTTCTCTTGATGCAGTGTTGGCTTTGGGCAAAGTGGTTCACTTAGTTCTCCAGTTTGATAGATCAGTCCATCCTCAGTTGATGGGAGGGAGGCATATAATGGTTAACCTTGATCGGTTTACCCCAGCAGTGACTGTCCTCCCTGGTATACAGCCCTCTTAATATGTAGTGGTAAGCCCACTCATCTATCACTTGCCTTTTCCTCATGAACAATTCTTGTTGAGCTTTGTCTATATTCACTTTATTGTTCATTCTGTTGTACAGCAGGATGGTGAAGCATTTGACTACAGTCATATCCCTGTCTGATGATATTTTGCATATTGTGCCACAATGTCCCCTGCTCTTAATTTTGCAAGTAGATGCTTATCTTGTAATTCCAGTGCACATTTTTTAACACGAGACTCCATGTGGAATGTTGATATTTCACGAAGAGGTTCAGTTGTTGACACATTCTTGCATAGAAATCAGATGTCCTTATTTGCTTTTTCAAGGTGTTTGGTTTGACAAGTGTACTTCTTGGATATGACTGAAAAAGAATCACAGTTTGTTTGTATTGATTTCCTTTTTTACTGCTCATTGAAAATTTGTAATGTTGAACTTTGTATGACAAGATTTATGCTATTTTGCCTTGTTTTACATAAGAGTGGCTTCTACCCCTTCATCTAGTCATTGAATGTCTATTGAAATAGGTAGCTTATCTTAGTCATGGAATCGCATCAGACTTGGTGAAAGGCTAGAATAGCCCTGACTAGCCCTAACATCATGGCACTTTGAGTCAGCTGGACTTTGTAAAGCTTCGTGTGTGACTTGTTGACAAAGTTGACTTGTTACATTCAATTTTCACTGGCAGTTCCCTCGAAGGAAAAGGCTATTGTGGGTCAACCAGCTGAAAACTCTTTGACATTGTCCGAGTTGCCAACACCAGGTTATATATAAATATGTACAATTAGCCACCACCTTCTATTATCATTCACAACACCTGAAATGAACACCATTGATAGAATACTATTAGTATATTATAAATACATATTGGAAATAGAGTCACATGAGTCAAGCAATAGCAAATGATTAGTGAGTTAATAGAAAACAGTAATTTGTTTAACTTATGCTGATGAGGCCAACTTTATTTTAATCTTAGGTTTACAGGTTTGCTGTGTCTAATTTTTCTAAAAGTGCAATAAATCGAATGTTTTATTGTTAGGAATTTTATTTTATTTTCGTGCTGCACATAAGAATTTTATTTTATTGGTCAAAAAAAGAGCTAGATTTTCGATCTGTACTTCGATATGAGGGTCGATCTATCATATCGTGCACAACGTATTGGTGTACCACAAACATTTTGAGCATATTAGTTGCAACTATCCACCAAATTGTTATAGATATTGTTATGACAGCGGGGGTCACGTGACGCTAATAATGCGTCATATTCTCGAACGTTCACGTCCCTTCCTGAAGTCTCGAGAGCCTACTAGATATGCGGTAGTCTTGTATATAAGCCGCCAAGAAGTGACGGCAAGAATGTGTAATTGACAGTTGAGTCGAGCACGTGAGACATTCGTTGTGAATTATAGCGTTCATTATAACGCGACTGTGGAAATTAAGTGTATTGCAAAGTTGAATTGAGAAATAATAAACCAGTTTTATTTAAGAAAGGACTTGTATCGCTAAAGTTTCTTCCGAAAGAATTTTTACGGAAAATTAACTAACGACCAGAGACGTAACAATATATTACATTTGATACATATCAACTTCAATTCATTATTTGGTAGTCACTTTTTTAAAATTCTTTATTAATATTTACAGTTTTAATTTTATCTTTTTCTCTACTCCTGTGCAACTTTTCAATAATTTCTCCTATAAACCAAAAAATCAATATGTTGGCCTAACCAACGATAAATCAATGGAAGTAAAAGTTAATTATATAGTACCATTTCAAATTTACCAAAATTTTGCTGACTCAGCACTTTTTTACCAAAATTTACCCATTATTGAGAGGTTATGAAGAATTCAAGCTAATTTCAATATTGCACCGAAATGAAGGTTTATTTTGAGATAATTTAATTAAATATTTCAAACTATTCTTGTTATTCATAATTCAAGAAAAAATGTTTGATTGTTGATTGGGAGTAAAAGGAAAGACAACTTCATTTTTCAAAAAAGTGAAGTCAGAATTTTCACGTATTGTGATGAATTAGTTC